GGTTCTCGGATTCGCCTCTTCGTTTTTTTCTGATTTGCAAAAAAAAAAAAAATTGATTCTGGTCCTGAATCAACTGAAAAATGTTTTGCCCCCAACAGTTGAGGAAAGTCCTTTTCTTCCTAGTTGTTACAATTTTCCCATCTATCATTGCAGTGGTTTGATTAAAAGTTCAAAATTCAATGTTTAAATTTTAACCCAGCCTTTTTGTGTTGACTTCATGGCTCATTCCATAGCATTTAAGCCTATAATAGGATGCCTAGACCTGTTTTTATTTTCATTTTTTTTCGCCCTGTCGCTTCATATTTTTTCTGAAAAAATCCGAGAACCAACAAATTAAATTGGTGTGGCCTTAGGCAAAACACACCTTTTACTTGCATTCTGCACAAATTTAGATCTCATTGTGCATGCATGCATATGAAGTGACTTTAATTCATGATTCTTTGCGGTACTTTTATGTTCACTTTTTCTTAATATGTTCATGGTTTTTGCAGTTACTTACAATGTATCAATACCACGAACTAAATTCATTACGGTAACCATGAACTAATCATTTAGCATGAACAAAGTCCCCGACGTGAATAATATTAGATTGAGAATGTAAATTACAGTATTATTCTTTGTTTTACGCTAAGAGCATCTTTAAGTTAGTTCTGATGCAAGTCTCTGTTTTGAGTTCTTAGTGTAATTACATGTACTATAGATATAATAATAAAAAATAAATGATTGTTGTTTTGCCCCCTCACAGGTACAAACGTGTGTGTGAGGAACAATGGAGGCTGTAGTAACCTGTGTGTGCCCAAACCCGGGTCGGGTCACAATCGTGCCTGCCTCTGTTCTGACGACGTCATCAAGGTGGTCCAGCCCAACGGGACGGAGAGGTGTGAGTGTCGGCGACACGAACACATGGTCAACGGATACTGCGAGCCTAACAACGGTGAGTCTGCAGTTAGTGCTGTGTACCAGTTCACTGGAACTGCAAATGTTTAGGTTCAAGAAAAAAAAACACTAAAAGTCAAGAAGCAATTCAGGAGTTAATGATTAAAAAAAAAGACATTTCACATACCCCTTTTCCATCCAAACCATCTAAAACCTTCCATAGATTGCAAAATCTGTGTTGCAACATGAAGAAAAATTTCTATCCGGCATCGTCAAGTGTCAGCCTCCATGTTATGTGGCCAGACAACATTGCAAGGTTGCATAGCCAGCGCCCATTTTTTTTCCATCAATCAACGTAACTTTTGCAATGTGAATGGAAAACAACCAACCCGTCAACCTTAATGGACAAAGTCAGCAAAATATTCTTGGATATGTCAGTATCTGAAATGTCAGTATCTGAAGATCCGAAGTTGAATAAACACCTAAAACACCGGCCTGGCATTTCAGTGTGAACCTTGCGAAATGTGGGAAACTGCGTTTTTCAAGAGTTCAAGATCCCAAATTTCTTAAATTTCTCGGAGGAGCATGTCTCAGGACCCCCTAGATTGTAAGCACCCTCTGCGCTTCCTGCACAGAATGATATGAACCTAGTAGCCATACCCATACATGAATACACCTCCAGAAACACCAACCCAACAAGAGGACACCGTCTACGTTACACCATTCCTTCAGGCAAAACAGATGTATACAGAATTAGTTTCTTCCCACAAACAATTATTGAATGGAACTACCTACCAGCACATATAGTCTCAGCACCAACTACAGACATCTTCAGTCTGGGGTTGGCCCAATACATGGGCCTCCCTACTCCTTAGTCATTCATTACAGACACATTGCGGCCATGTACATAGCACTGTTTAATGTACACCATAAGCACTTTGATTCTTGTTTGATTTGTTTTCCTTGAACGGAGCACCTCAACCCACCGGCCGCAATTGTCAAGACCCTGGGCGTGATGCCCCAGTTTGGGGCCTTACTATACATAGATATAGATAGAACCTAGGCTAACAGAAAAAATTATGAGCAGGCTAGTACCCTGCTGCATACATGTAGTACAGTAACTGTAAACTTCCTGTAAAGTACTGAAAGTTAATATGAAGCAAGTAATTTCTAACACAAGAACATGAACAATCCACCGCTTCTGTGACGTCACGTTATGCAGATAACACATTGTTTCTAAGATGAGGCCATATTCGGCTATTTGTCACAGGAGCTTTAGGGATTCGAACCCAGCATCGTTTAGATTGTAAGTCAACAACCCTAACCACTAAACTGTTTCTACAATAGGGACCACATGTCCTGGAGGCCAGTTCACCTGCTCCAACGAACACTGCATCCCCCAGAGCTGGGTCTGTGACCATGATAACGACTGTGGGGACTACAGTGATGAACAGGACTGCCGTAAGTTGTCCCTGCTTTTTGGCAACACCTTAGGGGCTAACCTATTAGTAACTAGCAAAATTTAATGCATAATTTTTACCTCTGCATATGGTCTGCTCCATTAATTCTTACTCAAACACATTCACGTACATTCACGTACATGTACATGTATATGGTGACAGGATCGCTCCTACTATGAAATTGCAACATTATGTAACCCAACACCAGTTACCATGGTGACAGAGGTCAACAAATCATGTCATTGGCCAGGTCAGAGGTCACTGGAGAAGAAGAGGAAGAAACTGAGCAAAAACAATTATGTTTTCTTTTGGTAAACATAATTATCGTGAAAGTGGGAAGAAACAAAGCAGGATTGAAGAAAATAATTTGCAGAAAGAGGTCTCTTGATAAAAGCTGATTCATATTCACAGGCTGTTGAAATCTGCACCAACATTTTTACGTCCTCTCATGGTCCTTGTTATTTATTTATTTTTTATTTTAAAGGTTATGGGTAGAAGTGACAGGATGTGGAGTTCGGATTGGACAGATTTTAGTCATTTATGAACCCTGACATGATGTGAAATACAGTCAAACCTGCCTATAGTGGTCACTCAAGGGACTGGCCAAATTTGACCACTATGGCCAGGTGACCACTATAGAGAAACAGCTGGTTAGTTGACCCCCCCCCCCTCCAAAAAAAAGGGACACATGCTTTGAGTACCAACAGTGATGTCTTTATTCTGAAACATATGAATACATACATTTGCAAAGGTAAACCCCTTTTATATGTACATGTCTTAGTTCAATAATTTGTTGTTCTTTTGCTTTAGTTGTACTTTATTTTGTACTTGCTTGAAAAAAAAGAAATACAGAAATATAATTTGCATGGAAACATTAACTTGACATCAAAGATACATACACTCAACATATTCAGTTCATCTATTCTGGGACAATGAAACCATTCACATTAAAACATACAAAATCACTGGTTGTCATTTACAGTACTGTTCTTGTGTACATACTAGTACTACATGTGGCTAAAGAAAAGAAAGCAAATCAAGCAACAAACTTTCAACTCCAAATAAATTTCTATCGACTGCAAAATCATTTAATCTAAGCTCAGCTTTCGACGATTTCTTCAAGCTCACTCTCTCTGCCAGTCAGATCACTTCCACCTTTTGGAATAAGTTCGGCGTCCGTCTTTCCGCTTTCGCCATCGTTTCTCCGCAATCGCCACGTTACTAGTAGTTGTTGTTGTTGTTAGTCGAAAAGTGGAAGAGAACGACATCGCCATGTTTTTGTTCTTTGGTGAACACTTGCTTCGCGCGACCGACATACGCCACAGCGAATTCCAACCACGTAAATAAGTTATTTTGTACCAAGATGCTGTCTATTTAGTTAACAGCAAAATAATTGTTCGTCAGTTGCCACTTACTTTCCGTTTTTGGTCGTTTTTGAACATGAAAACTTAGCGAAAACTCTCCTTTGTTTACGGCTTGGGTTTCTCCCCGAGTGGGTTGTCTGCCTCTACCATTAAGCCAATGTGGTAGTCAACAGAAAATTTTCTCCTTTCAGACTTATATCTTTTCTAAAATATCCAATACAGTGTTAAATTTACATCTAAAATTAATTGTAGTAATGTATTTCTAATGTTTTCATAATGTAATTACATCATTTGACGCTAATGAAGTTAAATAAAACTCGGTGTATCTACCTCCATAACAGTGGAGTCTTCCGATGACCCCAATTGACCTCCCTCTGCAGCTAACATGCGCCATCTTGGAAAAATACGAAACGCATTTTCGAGCCAAATTTCTTGAATGAATTATGCCCATGAAAAACGGAAGCTATGCACATATCTACGCATTTCAAAGAATCGAGAAACCAAATATGGATATTCTTAAGTTTTTTTGTAAAGATAATTGCCGTAATCTTTGCCGAGCGGCCGAGTCCATTGAAAGCTCCATGCGGCACGCACGGCACTGGTGTTGGGGAAAACGCAGATATCAAAGACACCCGCGACCGCAGAAACTTCGTGTCTAAAAGCCCGGTTTTCCTTTATTTCATACACATATGGAGTTTAAATTTCAGTTCACATTTTAGTAATGTAGCGATCGGAAAATTATCACAAGGCTCATAACGGTCGTAGCCCGAGGTCGGGTGGTGTTACGGCCGTGGTGCTTAGCGGGTTACGGCCAGCCGCGACCGCTATCGGCGGTGTTGACATGCCGGCGGGACCGGAATGGGGTGACCGCTGACCGCGTTGAACAGTGACCGCTATAGACACGATTCTTAATGCTTACGTCAATGGGAAAAATTCAAGGGACCGGCAAAAACTGACCGCTATGGCCGAGTGACCACTATACAAAGGTGACCGCTATTACAGGTTTGACTGTACTCAATAAATGCATAAAGACACGAGTTACTGACAGTATTCAGAACATGTACAGTTCTGATCTGGATTAACCTCCCTACTTCCTATGTACTAGTATGCATTTTAGCTTGTATATTTCTTCTTGAAAAGCAGTGTAAAATCATCACCTAAGCACCTGCTCTAATTGGCTATCTACATCGGATTCCACAACCTTTATTTTTCAGTTACTGTACTGAAACAGGAAACAATAATTATTATATTTTTCTTCCTACGCCCTAAACTATGCATTTATTTTGAACGAGAAATACACACTGCTTTAATTTATAGCATTTTGCAGGACTTTTGATTGTGATTTGCAAGCGGTTAGATGAAATGTTACTCGAGATCTGTACTGTAGATGGAACGTTATTCGAGATCTGTACTATAGGTCTGTTTTTTGTAATATGGAAACCCCATGCTTGCTTGTCCTCTACAGCACCCAGCACCTGTGACAGTACACAGTTCACCTGTGGTAACGGCCACTGTATCCCCTCACGCTGGAAATGTGACCACGATAATGATTGTGGAGACATGACTGATGAACAGGACTGTGGTAAGTTCTGTTTTGTATAATGGTTCTTGACTTACATGTACATTTAAAATAACTTTGGCTCTTCAGAGTTGTATGGTGGCGCTGATGTTCAGAACTACTGAAAGATGATACAATGTTGTTTTGTCTTGTGTCAGTGTTCTCAACCTGCATGCGGAGTCAAGACCAGTTCACTTGTAAATTTAACATTATCTGGATCTGGCTTACTTATAATGCAGTAATGCAGTCACTAACTGCTAATGCAGTTCCCTTGAAAGTTGTATGGTGGCGCTGATGTTCTGTTCAAAACTAAGATGTTGCAATGTTTTTTTTAAATCATTTTATGACTGTTCCCAACCTGTGGTCATACCTGTAAATTTAACTTTACCCAAATCTGGCTTACTGGTGATGCAGTTCCGACGAGAGATGCATGGTGGCGCTGATGATCTGTACCAAACTAAGATGTTGTTTTGTTTTTTGTCAGTGTTCCCCACCTGTGGCCATGACCAGTTTACCTGTAGCAATGGGCGGTGCATCCCTCAGAGGTGGGTTTGCGACTTTGACAACGACTGTCACGACATGTCAGACGAAGCCCACTGCTCATTCACAACACCAGGTAAGTTTTATTTTCATTGGATCAGAATCTGATGTCAAAGCTGCCAAAGACCACTCAGGATTCCAATAAATTCTGGTATACATGTATGTGGACAGGTGGTCACCATATGTATATATAGACAGGATTCTTAATTCTTGTGTCAAATGGTAAAGACTTAAAAGATATCTAATTAAGAAACCACCAAACCAAAAAATCATAATAAACAATTATACTGTGTAAAATAGGTCGGGACTCAGTGTACAAAATACTTTTTTGAACCAGGTTGCCCAGTGGGCAACCTATGGCAAAAATTAGGTTGCCCATCAGAATTTTAGGTTGCCCCACCTACAATGTATAAGTTACTACTTTCCTCAAATTAAGTATTGTTAAATACGTTACATGCAATACATGTGTTTCTAACAGACTTTGTAAACTGATACTAGTGATAGCCTTTAATACCTAAAATTAAAAAGCATCTGCTGGATACAGTGGTACAAGCCGAGTGGGCATGATTTTTTTTTTCTTTGGGGGGCCTAGGGGGGGGGCATTCTTAAAATTCAGGTAGCACACTTGCTACCTATGTAGGTTCAAAAATAGGTTGCCCCAAGTAAAATTCGGTTGCCCGGGGCAACTGGGCAACCAGGTATTTTGCACACTGGGACTGTCTCAGTGTGGTTGTTGATAGGGGTTGGTTGGTGGATACAGTTGGTTGGATGGACAGGTTTGACTGTACTACAGTTATGTAAAATGTACATTGTACAATGTGTGATTGTGTGTTTCAGCTCCTACAGTGCTGCCCAACTGCACGAGCAGTCAGTTCCAATGTGCCAACGGACGCTGTATCTCAGCTAGTTGGAAATGTGACGGAGACAACGACTGTGGAGACATGAGTGACGAGCAGGATTGCGGTAAGGGACTGTTACCTTAAAGTTGGTTAGCACGTCAGAAGAACGTACTGCACCTGAACCAAAGCCGTAGTGTACTGTGCTTGGCACTTCGGTAGAGCATCTTGTTTAAGGTCGTATTTGTGTATTCAAGGATGGCATTCTGTTTGTAGTTGCATTACAAACAAATTACCAGTAACTGCATAAATAACGGAGATACCTTCCGGACGTTTCGAGTGACGTCTGTCACTTTTCTTCATCGTCACTAAAAAGGATGAGTGAAGAATGACACATGTCACTCGAAACGTCCGGAAGGTATCTCAGAGTCTGTTATTTATCCAGTATATCAGAGTTTGATTTTTCTTTGAATATTGTTCCTAGATGTCTAAACCTTCATTGACGTATTATGTAATGTATGCTAATTTGTAGGTGCCCTGACCTGCCGGTGGTTCCAGTTTACCTGTAACAATGGCCGCTGTGTGTACAACTCCTGGGTGTGTGATGGGGAGGACGACTGTGGGGATGGCTCGGATGAACGGGACTGTGGTAAGGCTTCTTCTGGTCTTCTTCCTGTTACTGTAACAGTAGTATTTGTAAGACAGTGTGTACTGTAGTCTGAAATGAGTCCAGTATAAAAAGTAATTGGCCCCCCCTAAAAAACACTTGCCCAAGAGACCACCTCCAGGCTTTGAGATTAACTTTTCTTTCTATTGCCCCAGCACTGTCCCAAAAATAAATTTCAAAAATGGTCCCGAAGTGAGGATGAACTGTCCCGACCTGTTTTTTTTTTAAATGATAACTAGCATGAAATCTTGATGGAATCGGACAGTTAACCATTGGTTTGGACAGCATAACAGTCTTCTCGTAATGGCAAATGGCACTGACTGGGTAACGTTGGGTCTGTGGGGTAATCTATTGTAAAATGGATGGAAATGTTGCTGAGATTTTCTTGTTCTCCACTGTCAGCTTCTCGTTGCTTTACATGTATGTAAGTCAAATGTGGTCTTCCACGACCTCTATTTCCATGACTCGGGTTCCGGAGTAAGAGTTTGTATAGTACCTCATCCTTTTTTCCTCCAACAGTGGCCTCCTTTCCTGTATTGTTTCTGAATCAGCAAATGGTGGACCAGGTATGTTTTTGTACAGCTCACGGTTTTACGTTTTTTTCAGCCACCTCACCGTACCCGACATCGATCATGCCGACTCGTCCTGCCAACTGCACCTCGCTGCAGTTCCATTGTCATAACGGGAACTGCGTCAACGAGCGCTGGAAGTGTGACGGGATCGACGACTGTGGAGACAACTCTGACGAAGCCAACTGTGGAGGTACAGTAACACACCGCGCACGCATTGATTTTCGGCTGTTCTAAAAAAAAAAGTTTACGTCCTCTGAGGCTCTGGCCTAGCTCTAGGCTTGGGTAGTCTATGGTAACTCTCCAATTGCAAGCAGAGGTTGTGGGGGAATGATCGTTAACTTTTTATATATTGCTGTTTTTTTTTTGTCGCTACCCCCACCTAGCCGTCGGTGGCCGGCGACCTTCTCTGGCTAATGGATACTGCCTGGCCAATTTGATACTGTCTTTTTGCCACCGAAATTGATCTGCTTGGAGATTAGTGGTTTAGTAGCATTTAATTTTTGGCCGGAATTTTTTTAATTCACCCGCGTGCACCTAGTTTGAGTGTCTTCAAAGGATGTCATCCATAAAATTAAGTCGGTGTGGCCTAACTGCAAACATTGGCCTTATACTGTCATGAAAGTTCATCTGTGTTGGTTGTTACATTGTAATGTTTAAAGTTAAAATTTTTGGTCCAACATAAAAAATTCTCTCACCTAGAGCTTTTGACCAGTCACTCTGGTCTTCCTCAGTAGACTGACCCAGTGAGACACTACGCCACACGATGCCACTAAAATCCCATTTCAATCTGTAGCCCTTGGGCCACACAGTTGTGCAAGCACTACAGCAGGGGGGTTAGTCTGCTGGTAGTGTTGTGTGTTTCACCTTACCATACTCTATCTCATAGATGCTGAGTGCTTATAGCAGAGAAAGCAGTACTAGCCATATTTAAAGTCTTTGGTATGACCCTGCCGGGGTTTGAACTCACAACCTCCAGGTTACAAAGCGAGTACTCTTCTTGATTGAGCTACATTGTATTGTCCTGAAACCTTTAAAACTGAATAAAAAATTTGACATTCAAAAGAACGACTCTCATTGATGTGGCTTACATGTACAATGTTGCATTTATCTCTTGCCCAATCGAACACTCAACTGCCATACATTCCTGTGATTACCCGTAGTTGTGACGGAGGCCCCCCAGACGTGCCGACCGGACCAGTTCCACTGTGACAACGATGTGTGCATCTACGCTGGCTGGAGGTGTGACGGGGATAACGACTGTGGAGACTTCTCCGATGAAAGAGGCTGTAAGTATTGGTTAGCTAAATTTCCGCCCCCCCCCCCCTCACAACATCAAAAGTTATCCGGACCCGTCTAGTCACATTCTAAAAATGTTAAAATTTGTCCTAAAAATGACCACAGAAGCTCCAAAAAAAAGTAGCTATTTCGCTGAAAACCACGCCAGTTACTTACTGCCCAAGCTATTTCCCACTCAAAAATCAAGACCATAGCATGTCCACAGCACAAGATATAATACCCATGTGCCCCACTGCAGTACCTTACAAAACCGATAGAGTGCCCAAAATTGAAAGTGATCTTCATTTTCCCAACCTCATCCTACCTACTAAATATCGTTATATGATAAAGATACATGCACCACACCCCATGGCAAGTTATATCTGATTATAAAATCAGCAACCCCTACACATGTATGTATGGTGTACCTAAACACATAACCTTCTGACAAAGGTAACAAATAGACCCTAGATGAGAAGAGTCAACGTGGTTGTCTTGAATGTTGTTTGTACAGGTGCGACGACACCACCCCCTCGTCAGAACACCTGTGCACCAAACCAGTTCACCTGCGGGCCTGGCGGGTACTACCGCTGCATCTGGGAGAGCTGGGTCTGCGACGGAGACAACGACTGCGGAGACATGAGCGACGAGAGAGACTGCCCCACAAGTCAGTTTTTGAGTTTGAGTTTAATTTATTTAGATCCACAATTAGCCTCATAAGAGACTATTCTGTGGTCTACACATTCATATAATACATGTACATTACAATCGTACAAAAACATTAGAAAGTGAACAGTATATATTTTATTAAGTTTAGTTTATTAAGTTTATTAAAAGTCCAAAGGAGCTCGCGGGCAAAAAATTGCCCGAATTACGTCCTCGTTACATAATTCATGACACAATGAACACATTACAAAATTTTACATTACAAGTAACGTTACACGTAGGATATCTTTAAAAAAACAGCATCTCAATTACAACCTAAATCGATCCATAAAGGCAAAGCGAGCACACTTAGCATTACATATACACAAAGTAATTACTGTGTATCGAGTGTTGGTCTGTTGTTATACAACCGGATAGCACAGTGTAAGAAGGAATTGCGCAGTCTCTTTGTACGAGCTGGAGACAGACTGATCCTCTCAGCGTTTCTCAGGGACAGTCCAGTTGCTGCAGACCTAGTGGGCGGAACCAAGTCGTGTAGGGGGTGGTGGCAAACTTAACACAATTCCTTAAATACACTATTTACAGTCCAGAACTTTGCTCAGTAGTAGTCAGTAGACTTCAGAAATTCAGAAACTTTACACTTAAGGCCACAGCAAGTAAATTTTATGGATAACATCCTCTGCAGGGCAAAAAAAACAAGGTAGGCCCAAAAAAACAAGATTCGTTCATTTTCAAATTTTAATCAAATTTTAATTAAAAAGTATAAGCCTTGTTGAACAAGAATTTTCATGTCATCCATATTACATAATTGTATAATCAAATCAACATGGTCTCATATACATGTAACACAGTTACAATGTAGGATCTCATGTTTGTTACCTACATAATAAAATTATTACTGTAACGATTTTTCCAATAATGGCAAAATATCAATTATACATTATAGATTCGGATTTTAGAATTTAATCAGTACTAACGTCATGTACATGTAGTTGGTATGTTAATATTTGTTTTTCAATACAACATGATCATCTTGTATTTTCCTTATTTTCCTGCCTTTGGTTAAATGGAAATGAGAAATGAAAGAAAATATTACCCCCCCCCCCCAGCACTCCCCACCACTACGTCTCGCTACGTGCCGCACCAGTGTAACCATTTCCAGTTCCGGTGTATCGCTGACGGGCGCTGTATCCCGATGGGCTGGCGCTGTGACGGAGCCTGGGACTGTATCAACGGGACAGACGAGTGGGGCTGTGCTGCCACAGGTAAGGACAACAGCCAGTTCTCTGACTTCTTTTTGGCGACGTCTCAGGGAGGAGCCTAATGGTACAGTATTGTGTGCAGTTTGCAAGAATTCTAGGAATTGTACAGGAATTTTGTATCAACGGGACAGACGAGTGGGGCTGTGCTGCCACAGGTAAGGACACCAGCCAGTTCTCTGACTTCTTTTTGGCGATGTCTCAGGGAGGAGCCTAATGGTACAGTATTGTGTGCAGTTTGCAAGAATTCTAGGAATTGTACATGGAATGTCCACAGGAATGTCTCCCAGCTCTGTTTGCTGAAACACATCTATGACCACATTCCTGGAAACCCTTGGGAAAACTTGTTTGCCCCGGATGCCCTACTGTCTGTGACCCCGGGGCTCGTTCACTATACACTAAGGGTAGGGTAGGAGTGATGTATCCGTCTATTAGACTCTTAGACAGATTATTTCAGTCAGTCTAGAAAATTTCAGGTTAGTTAGTTTTTCTCCTGCAATATTGAAACTGCAGATGGGTATTTCTAACAGTGGTATTACCCAAGGGTATTCACAGATTTAGTACATTGTACATCATTCTGTAATGTATGTGAACAATTAGGATAGAGTCTACTTACCACAGAAAAACATATTGTTTTGCTCTGTTTCCTCTGCTTCTCCAAGCATGTAAAGTCAATGACCTGAACCAGACGTCTGTCACCATGGTAACTAGTGTTGGGTTGTATCATGTTGCAATTTTATAGCAGGAATGATTTAGACTCCTGTCTGACCATATACATGTACAAGTATATGAATGTGTTTGAGTAAAAATTAACAGTCTGAGAGCAGACCATATGCAAAGGTAAACAAATAATGTTAACTTTTCTAGACATGTTGCAATTTTATAGCAGGAATGATTTAGACTCCTGTCTGACCATGTACATGTACAAGTATATGAATGTGTGTGAGTAAGAATTAACAGTCTGAGAGCAGACCATATGCGAAGGTAAACAAATGTTAACTTTTCTAGTTAACCTGATTTTTTTTTGTTTCCCAGTCGTCCCTACAACCCCCGCCTCACCGCGGTGTTCTGCCATCCAGTTTGCATGTGTGGACGGTGATGGCTGCATCGCGAGGTACCGAGTGTGTGACGGTCGCAACGACTGCCTGGACCACAGTGACGAGAGAAACTGCTGTAAGTGTCCACTTTTAGTCTCACGTACATGTACAATCATGTAGACTGGGCTTAGAAAAAAAATATGTTCAACTTGTGTTTCCTGTATGTTGCAGTCCTGAAAAAAAATTAGGGTGGTAGGTAGGGATTATCTTTTTTTAACCTTTTTTTACTTCTCTTTAGCAGTGGCCCAACTTAGACTTTCGCTGTCAATGTTGGAAAACCGATTGCACAACGTTTCATCACTCAGGTGTCAGATCATGGAGCTGGAAAAGGTCAATCAGCTCGAAAAAAATATTCCTTGCAATGAAAAAATAGTTTTTGCTGACATACAACAAAAATAAATTTCGAGCCCTGCACACACACACACACACACACACACACACACACACACAAATTTCATACATGACATAATATATTTATTTTCTGGTCTTGTCTTTACCAGCCCAACACTACCGTGTTATGGGACTGAAGGTGGACCCGACGGCCACTACTGGACAGGTGCGGCTGGAGTGGCAAGCCGTCACACCTCGACCCACCAGCACATACTCCTACGTCATCTACTACAGGTCAGCAAATCTTCACTGTCTTTGTTGTTTGTTTGTTTGTTTATTGGCATATAATCAAAGAAATAAAATAAACATAAAATAACAATTTAAAGGAGATATGCGGGGGGAAGATAAAAAGCCGTTATGGCCTGTCCGCAATCTTCCCTTGACAACATAAATTGTATGATGTACATTATATTACATTATATAATTATATTAATAATAAAAATTAATAGGTAGTACAAATTATATAATATATATTATATTGACAACATATGATGATTATTGTAATTAGATAGCTTAAAGAACAAATAATCATTAAGTAACGCAATATTATGGATAATATTATGATGAATAAAACCAATATAGGATATTTCAATAATGTTGTAAAGTCAACTTCTACCAATTACTAAGTACCTAATACCAGCCCAGAAGAGAACAAAAAAGAGCCAAGTACCAGAGATATGAACCAAGGATTGAGGTGTTCAAGCATTCATTCTTTCCTAGAACTATCACAGAGTGGAACTCGCTGTCACCAAATACAATAGAAAGCTTTAAACTGTTACAGTGTTTAGAGTTAGATACATTGTATTCGAGGCTTTGGTGTAACAAGTCGTTCGGTGTAATGTAGCCAGCTGCCACCGCGCAGCGTGCCTGCAAAGCTGGTGTGTTACACCGAAGGGCGGTTATACCGGCTATACAGATACAGAATCTGGTGTGCTATGCCAAAGGGCGGTTATACTGGCTATACAGATACAGAAGCTGGTGTGTTACGCCGAAGGGTGGTTATACTGGCTATACAGATACAGAAGCTGGTGTGTTACGCCAAAGGGTGGTTATACCGGCTATACAGATACAGAAGCTGGTGTGTTACGCCAAAGGGTGGTTATACCTGCCATACAGATACAGAATCTGGTGTGTTACGCCAAAGGGCGGTTATACCGGCTATACAGATACAGAAGCTGGTGTGTTACACCAAAGGGTGGTTATACATGTACCGGCTATACAGATACAGAATCTGGTGTGTTACGCCGAAGGGCGGTTATACCGGCTATACAGATACAGAAGCTGGTGTGTTATGCCAAAGGGCGGTTATACCGGCTATACAGATACAGAAGCTGGTGTGTTACGCCGAAGGGCGGTTTTACCGGCTATACAGATACAGA